TCTATAGGCGAGGACTTATTGCTTATTAGCCTAATCACTACTTACCTCCTACTAGCAGTCTATCTATCGGTGCCCCTTAAGGTATTCCCCCTCGGCCTATAACCACCGCTCCCGTAACGGGTGGAGGCGTATATCGCGGTGGTGCTTTAGTAGAGACGGGAGATCCTCGCGGGTTACGTGCGATAGCGGCTAAGAGGTATTAAAGGGAGTAGAATCTATAATACCGATAGTACCGTCGTTAATAGCTTACTTCCTCGCGCGTGTGGGGTTATAAGTCCTGCTAGCGTTAAAGAACGCCTTTTAGGCGTTATCGTTCTAGACCTTCTTAGTCGTGTATAGACTTATGATAGTTCTCGCGATAGATAGGGGTGTAGCTAACGGGCGTGCGGCCGACGGGCACCCCCTAGGGGTATCCGCGGCTATCCGTTAGTGGTTATTATATTCTTTTACCTTAATTCCCCTAACCACCGCTAACACTATAAAGAACGCGTGTGCGGGATCTTCCGGGGATATTAGAGGCGTGGGAAACGGTTTAAACCTCGTAGTGGTAAACCGTAAAGTATCCGTAGTAATAGCAGTAGCCTCTCCCGTAGTAATAGCGGTGGCGTTAGAGTTACGAGGTTCTAAATCTATAGCCTAGTTATTAGGCTATAGATTTAGAACCTTAGCCATAGTAATAGTAGTGGTCTCTTTTATAGTAATAGCGATAGCCTCGCGTTTATCCGTAGTAATAGCGGTGGCGTCGCCTTTACCAGTAGTAATAGCGGTAGTATAGTCTTCTCCTATAATAATAGTAATATCCGTAGTAATAGCGGTATAATCTATAGTAATAGTAGTAGCCTTTCTTATAGTAATAGCGACGGCCTCGCCTTCATCTATAATAATAGTGGTAGCGTTACCTTTACCCGTAGTAATAGCGGTAGCGTTAGAGTCTTCCGACTCGAGATCTAATACGTCTACGGCTATACCCCTTAATAGCAGCCTATTCGCGGTCTTATTAGATTAGGTAATACGGATAGATTATAGGCGTTCCCCGATTTCCTTAGCGGAAGCTATAGCTTATAGCATTTTAATCCTGCCGTTAAATATCTTATCTTCGTTAAAGACTATATCTCTTATAGTAATAATATCCGTTAGGTATAGTAGCTAAATACGGAAGCTATTTAAGGATTAGTATCCGATATAATAACCGATCTATACCTTCGGTTCTAGCCTTTATAGGCGGTTTCTTTTAGCTTAGGTATTATATATTTTTATAAAGGCTTTATAGCCGTAAGCTTATAGGTGCGTAAGGTTAGGTTAACGGCCGCGTAGGCCTTTATATAGCGTTCGCTAGTCGTTAATATATCGTAGCGTCCTATTATACAGATATATAGCAGTCTTAAAGATCTTAGGCTACATAGATATAGGCAGATTAGCTCTAATCCTAATAGCCCTTACCCTTCCCTTAACGATACCTTTAATCCGTTCTATAATACCGATCTGATCCTATGAATATAATGCCGACGACTAGCCTTCTACCCCCTTAGCAGCGAGGAAAGCAACGACTTTTAGGTGCTGAAATATCTTAGAATCGGCCCGTAGAATGCGTGGCCTAACATCGAATTAGGTCTTAAGTAGGGTAAAAACATCCTTTAGAGTATATAGAATAGAGCCTTAGTCTCTCTTCTATAAGTAGTAATCCCACGTATAACCTATATACACGTCTATAACGAATATAATAGACTTATATAGTCCGCCCGCTAATTACTCCACCTCTTCTAGATCGTGAAAATTAATAGCTAGGGCCTCTCCGGGCTTTAACGGGTAAAGGGATAGTATCCGCCGGATCTATGTAGGAACTTACGATTACCCATACGCGTTATAGTCTATTATACGAGGTCCCTTTATCTTTACCCCCTAAGTGGCGTCGACGATCTTTACGAGAGTATCGGTACCGTAGTGGCCGAGGCGTTCGTGCCACTATTATACCGTGGTCTTCTACGGTTACCGCGGTTATCGTGATCTTCTATACGCGTTATCGCGGGGGTACCTTACCAAGACCGCGAACGCGGTAGCGGCCATAGCTTCCGCGCGCTCGATTATATATTAGCCGTAGATATCTAATAGCTTATAAATAGGCCGGTCATCGGCGGAGCTAATAATAGTATCGTTTACGGTATCCTAGCAGTAACCTTATAGGCGTAGCTAGCGTTCCGAGACGATATTAGTAACGAATTCCTTATAGTATACGATATCACGGAGGCGTCATAGCCTCTTCGTGCCCGATAGGGATTATATATATAGCTTAACGTCTCTATATCAGAGGATAGGAGCCTTATAAATACATACCTAAAGCGTTAATAAATTAACCGTGGGTAGTTTAACGGCCGTAAAACGGCCTCGATTATTAATAATATAGATTAACGATCCTAAGTCTAGGATCGCGTAGTATGATAGCGCTCTGGCTTTATTAATAGAAAGGGATATCCCCTATTCTTATTATAATCTTAATAGTATCGTCGTACGATAACGCGCTACCCCCTAGGTTAGGGGGGCTCTTAGTCTCCCCGTCGCGGTAACGGACAGGTCTTTATAAACTATAGTAGTGGCGTAGTATTATAGAGTTAATCTTCCTAGACTTCCTCTATCTTATTAGCGGTGGTAGCTACTGCTTCCCGCCTTTTCTGTATCGCGGTGTCCACGCGGCTTTTAAAACTATAAATACATATCTTCTTTTCCGCGACCTTTATAATATCTTCACGGCCACGCTAGGTATAAGGGCGTATATCCGGCCTTATATACTAATAGGCGGCGGTAGTATAGGTATTCTTATATATCTCGTAAGGCCTCCTTATTACGAGAGGGATAGCCTTTACGGACGTGTTACTACGAGGGCACTTCTTATTATTATTATTATTAGCAGTATCCTCCGTATCGGGGAGGTTCCTAAGGGTATTAAAGGTGCCTCTCCTAACTCTAGGCTTTATAGCGGTGGATTATAGGCTTTTTATATTACTAAGAACCGCCCGTAGAGCCTTTACGAAGTCGTTAATCGTTAGTTCGTTTTCCGTAATCTTATCGTAGTTATTTACTAAGTAGTTATTACTCTATTCCTGGGTAATAGGTCTAACGGCTTTTAACGCGTCTTCTACTTAACGGTCCGCGCTTAATAGTTCTAAAACGCCTATATATTTATAGTATATTATCGCTATTTTCTAGCTTACCACCTAGGCGTCTATATCCTTAGGTATAGCCTTTATAGGCGTGGTGTATTATCGGTATAGGACTAGGCTTCCTTATAGAGGTCTATAGGTATCTGTCCTGCGTGCGCGTGCAGGAGAGTAATCCAGGCCCGCGGGTTATTTACGGTATCGTCCTATAGCTAGGCGAGGAGATTATATAACGTGGTGTATACGGTCCTTTCGATATAGGAGCGTACCTCGTTAAACTCCTTCTACTACGCGTCGTAGTCTGCCTTTTCCTCGCGGTATATACGGCGATTTTATAGGTAGCGCGTACGCCCTTTTTTAGAGAGGTCGTCGATAGACGTGGGCGTCCTAGTCGGTGGTTCTTTCGTTACGGCCGTAACCTTCCGGCGAGCGGCCGTCTTCCTCTTACCGGTAGCCGTGGCAGCGGCCGTGGTAGCCGTGGATTCTATAGTATCCGTGGCCTCGTTACCCTTTAGCGTGATAGTGGAAGACGGAGTAGCCGTGACGGTAGTAGCTATAGCCTCCTCCGCGTTAGGGTCCACGGCGAGGGCTTTATATTTACGAATATTAGGGGGTATAGGTATAGGGAGGAGATAGGCGTTAGCCTCCTTATCGCTTAGCTTTAGATTAAGGTAGTTATCCTAGCAGGAGGCCGATTTACCGCGTACGGCGCGCTCCTAAACTGCCTAATCCCCCCAGTTAACGAGGGTCGTGGCGGCCGCCTTCTATTCGGCGTTAGATATATTAGAAGATATCTTTACTAGATTATCGTTTATCGGTTAGTTAATTAATAGGTAGGTTAATTATTCTCTTGATTGCTCTGATTAGGTCGATAGTAGTTATTTAAGAGTGTTTATATAGATATAATTACTTCTTTATAGTAGAATAGGGGTAACCTTATCGATATCTATCTTTTAGGCGTTATAAACCGGGCTTATAACTATCGCACGTTAAATAGGCACTTGAATAATTAACTTAGTAGAGCAGAAATCTCGTGTGTGTGTATTATATTAAGTTATATCTGGGAGAGTCTTTTATACTTTTAATTTAGGTGGTAAAGACTCTATTATGGGTACTATATTATTTAGATCCTATCCGGTCTTTTCTGGTATCCACCCTTATTATATCCTAATGCCCGAAGTCCCCGATATCCGGAGCCCTTAGTTATGGAGTGGATCCCCCCTGGATCCCCTATAGACTATATCGTGGTCCTGCCTATACGACATCTATCTCCCTTTATTAAGCTCCTGAGGTATAAACTAGTCGGCATCGTGTAGTTCCATTGGTCAAATAAATAAGGTACCTTACCTTAAGGTACCTTAGGCATGAGAATATATTCGGATACTTGGTACTTCCTAGGTACGTACCCGATTCCATGTCTCGCCAACTGCACGACATAACTTTCTCCTGGCTTCTCCATTTCGATAAACTCGACGGCAGATGATTCTAGGTTACACCTCTTGTGGCTCCCGAATATTTTCTGCCACTGAACTCTCTCTGCTACCGCTGCTGGATATGGACGTGGCCATCTTGGTCGTTTGAAGTCTCGCAAGTATCGAGTCCAGGCTCAAGCCACCAAACCATCAAGCCAACAAGTGCCATTCCGTTCCGCGTTGCTTCCGCCTTTTTTCTTTCTTCTCCCCCTCTATGTTCATAATCTCATGAGTATTAGGACGTGATATGGCCACGGACCTAAGTGACTTATTTTGCTTCCCTTGTTTTTGATCAACGTCTCTTTTCTGGTAGCAGGGTCTATGCAGAAGACATATAGGCACACACATGTTCATGACCTCTTGTACAGAAGGAAGTTTAACCCTCCGCCTCGTAAGCGTGGGACTTGTGTTTGGGCTGGAACGTGAATCCGGGATGACAGGGACCGAGAAACATTTCACTATAAAGTCGGGTCAGGTGTCAGGTTAGCATCATACGATATCAAAAGATTCCAAAAACAAAAAAAAAAAAAAAAAAAAGGGCCGAAGAAGAACATACGTAATCTTAATCCAGTCCTTATAGTTGTTACTAGCGAGCAACGTCTCCAAGTCGTTCCGGCCACGGTAAAGAGGAGGCCGATCATTCAACGAAGGCGGCAAATGCTCCAGAATACCAATAGGGACGTATCTGTGGGTGAAACTGAGCCACTCGAGCAGGAACCGCCTCGTAAAGCCGATGCCGAGCTCATCGGACCCCCAGGCCTCGAGACCGTACCGGACAAACGTCTCAATGTACGTCAGCCTCTCCGAAGCCGACTTGTCGAGGTACTGGCCCTTCTCGATCTCCTCGAAGAGCCACGGCTTGACGAGGGCGCCGCGGCCGATCATGACGCTGTCGACGCGCGCCTCGTCGATGTGCCGGAAGTAGTCGACGTGGGAGTAGCAGTCGCCGTTCCCCAGGAAGAACATCTTCCCGCCCTTCGCGGCGGGGAGGGACGAGGCGTCCGGCTCGCGGACCGTGTCGGCGAGCGCGCCCGCCTCGTCGTTGTACGACCGGATCAGGGCGGCGCACTCGGCGATGTAAGCCCAGTCGGCGCGCTTCGTGTAGCGCTGCTCGCGGCTGCGGCCGTGGAGGGTGACGGCGGCGCAGCCGGGGGCGCCGAGGCGGTCGCGGGTCTCGCGGGCGCCGAAGGCCAGCTTGCTGAGCACGGTGGTCGCGTTGGGCCGGTTGGTCTTGATGCCCATGCGGATCTTGGCCGTGACGGGGATCGCGCCCGACACGGCGTTCATGCCGCGGATCATGCGCTCCAGCTTGCCGTGCGCTTCCAGGAGCCCGGACCCGCCGCCGCTCTTGTACACCATGTCGATGGGGCAGCCGCAGTTGAGGTCGATGACGCGGAGGTGCGGCACGAAGCGGCGGAGGCAGTCGGTCGCTTTGATGGCGATCCAGGGCTGGTGGGCTGCGATCTGGGCGCCGAACCGGATGTCCTGGGAGTTGTCGTAACCCTGGACGACGCTGCTGCTGCGGCTGGCATCCAGCGTCGGCGGCGCGATTTCGGACTCGTGCGCCCGCAGGAGGGCCCAGTCGGTCTTGTTGCCTTGGATGAGAGGGAGGCCCATGGCCATCTCCGAGTACGTCAATTGCGCGCCGAGGTCGACGCAGAGGCGGCGGAACGGCAGGTTTCCCTGCGTCGTCAGCGGGGCCAAGACGGGCGTGTCGCGGCCAAAGTAAAGCTTCCTCTTTTCCGACGGCTTCAGAGGGGGTTCCGTGTACTGGGCACGCAGGTCTTGCAGCTCGGAGGACTCGTCCTGCTGCTGCTGCTGGTTCTTCTTGCGTCGCTGGTGGATGGCGTCGGTGGTTTTCGCCTCGGCGTTCAGCCAGGTGATGTACTTGTCGAGCTCGGACATGTCGACGCGCCTGCGGTTGAGGTCGATCTTGGTCGCGCTGTCGACCGTGTTGACGACGCCAGGTCGCTGCTCGTCCCCTGGTTCCGGCTCAGCGCCCTCGGCCGTCGGGGTCGTTGCGCCGCCGAGGAGAACGAGCTCTTTGCGGCCGTCCTCGCGCTCGACCTCCTTCATGTGACTCCTTACGAAGCGGCACTTCCATCCCGAAGGGCACCGACCACACTGCTCGAAGACGGGACATTTCCCGCCGAAGCACTCGACGTCGGCACGGCGTCCTTCCTCGAGGTACTTGCGCAGATGGTGAGACATCTTGCATCGGTCGCCGAACTTGCACTCGCGCGGTGAGAACTCGGAGGAGAAGGCGCGGGTGTTGCATAGGCGGATGGCGTCGTCGAAGTGGCCAAAGGTGCGCTCCTTGTTCTGACCTCTGGGCTTCTTCTCGCGGTTGCTTCGCTTGTCGCGGGCGTCATGGCTCCGTTCGTCTCCCGCGTTGCCCTGCGTCCGCCCTTCCGCAGCATCGTCATCAACGCCCACGTCCTGCGGCTCTCGTCTGATTAAGTATCTGTACTTGTGTGTTAGAAGCAGGGATGAAGTTGCATCGGGAAGGAGGGGGGAAAGGTAGCGAGGACGAACTCGGCCTTTACGGGAGCCACGCCGCCACGATCCCTTGCGTCTTTACTAGGCTCAGTAGCATTCGTCTGAGCGACCTCAGTCCCGGAAGAAACAGGCTGAGCGGTAAGATGTTCAGATGCACGAGGTGCATCGGTCATGGTGATCTCAGCACCACCAGCAGCGGGGGCGCCAGATTCAGGGGCTGCGGGTTCGGAAGGCTTCTTCGACAATCCATTGACACTACCGCCGTCTGGAATAGCCGGGGCTGCAGCTTCGGCACCACTGGGTTGCGATGCCGATGAATCGTCTACCTTGAGGCGTTTCGTAGCTCGCTCGCCGGACGACTCATCAAGTCCTGGAGATGTACGGTCGCCCATGGTCCTTCGTCGGTGATAGTGGCAGGAGAGAAGACGGGGCTATGATATAGAGCTCGTTCAATAAAATCCTGCGTTTGGATAATTGGTGTAATTCGTGAAGACGGAGTGAAGGCAAGAAGGCGACAAATAGCTGAGAGGTGAGGCACAGAATCCGCCCCTTGTCTTTCAGGAGAAATTTCTTCTCATTTCAGGCTGCCGAGTCTGTTTACTAGTCAGATGAAAGGACAAGAAACGGTCATTATAGTGTTGTTATGACCGACCTGGTTGAGAATCTGAGGCGTTAGATGGATGATTGTTGTGACGCAATTCTCCGTGATGAAAAAGACGAGAAAAAAAGTCCCTGTCCCTGTCCCAAGTAGTAAAGTATCGTTGTTGTTAACGGCTGTAGCCTGTGGCATAAATTCCGTACGAAGTACGTATCTTGCCCATTGGTGAGCGAGAAGCGGGGCACTGGTGTTTCGATTGGAGGGGCAAAACGCTCCGGCCACACCTAGCATTACGTGATTCAGCACAGCACTCTCCACAGACAACAGTACCTTCAGCCAAGGTATCGAGCTACGAAGCAAACCGAATACGTACTCGAGTTGCCTTACCTTACCCATTGACCCTGACGAAGGTCAACGGCAGCCATGAAAAACGCCCGAGAACGTAACAACGAATAACGCCTCTCGGCTTACGGCTCTAGGACCATCACGTTACAACAGTTAACTGTTAGGAGTGTCAGAGTGCCAGCTATCGCAGCTTAACACCTGGGACCTATTATGCGAAATATCCGATTGTCCTAGTTGGAATATCCTCTCCCTGACTACTATGTCCCGCGTAGCTAAAATTGGTACAAAAACGTATTTTCCAGGGCGTTTGGTCCACCTCAAGTTTCCATCAATGACAGGTAAACACTCCCAAAAAACCATAGACATCCGAAGCTGCATGATTGCCCTTACGACCCTGAACCTGTGCCCGTAACTAGCCAATGCCGATGGGCCATAGCTGTCGCAGGGGTCCAAAAAGAAAAACAAAAGGAAAGAAAACCAAACACATAAAAAGGAAGAAAAATAGGCGACGCCCCGGTCCGAATCAAGCAAGGCTCTAAGCCCCGACCTGATTCATGCGCGTACCTGGCCAACTGCTTCTCTCACGGAGGGGGAGAAAAAAAAAAAGGAAAAAAAAAAAAGCATCGTGGCTCTGCCCCTTCGTATTCTCCCGCCATGCCCATTTTCGCCGCTTGTTCGAACAACCGAGACGCAATGCCTCACCGAGGACTACGATAATCGAAGTCCTGGCTTCCGGTCTTTTCGGACGCGTTTGTTATTTCGGGGTCGCTGTTCTGTCGGGAAAAAAACGACAAGTCTCCCACACAACGTCCAATAAGTGGTTGTCACGCCACGAACTGGACGAGCCGTAGGTGAATCCTTGTCGATTCGTTTCTTTTGTTCTGTTCCCCTCCCTTCGCGTGTTTCGCCCTTCGGGGACTTCCACCAGCCGAGGGTGCTCGAGGAGTAGAGGGGAAGTGGGACGGACCCGACCCTCCTTTCAAGCCCGGCCTTGTTGTTGTTTTCTTTCTCGCGCGTCTTGTACATGTTCGCCTCGGCCGAAGTGTCGGTTTTTGTGTGTGCGTGTGTGCGTGTGTGCGTGTGTGCGTGTGTGTTTGTGTGTGTGTATGTGTGTGTTGGTGCACGTATGTTTTTGCTGCCGTGTCGTACGGGCTTGTGTGCCGTGATGATGGCTGTGAATTGACGTAGCTTCCTCGGTGTGCATTACATGCTCTGGGGTAGAATACGGGCGGGCTGGCAAGTAGAAAAAAAGAAAAAAATGTCAGTTCGCTGCTCTGAGCCGGCCAACAAGAGTGGGCATGATCAATGATGACGGTGTGTGCTAAATTATGGAGGAGGTAAAGACGTACCGGACTGTTCAGCATGCTCTGCCTCTTGTTCCGTCCTTTCTTGATGTGGCTCTTCAGTGCACTCGAGTCGAGAGGCTTCAAGAGCTCAAAGCTGCAGAGCAACTCGGACGAGACAGACATAACGGCGCCCCAGTTGTCAAATTCACCGCAGTACTAGAATGGCCGGTTAGCAAGTCGATATAGTGGGGGGAGGGGGAGGGGGAGGGGGCAGAAGGAGGTGATCATGACACGGGGAAACCGCCTCAGGGAAAGGCTCACATTGGGCGCACTAAAGACCGTCACCAACAGCCGATCGGTAAAAAACTCGTAGCCGTCCTCCACCACCATGTGTGCCCGGCAGATCAGGTCAAAGTCGTGCTTGGCCAGAAAGTCCTCTATGACATTCTTGCCAAAGCAGTAACTGACGCCTCGCTCGTTCGCCTCCCAGTCGCTCTCCATCTCGGCCGGATCGGCCCACACCAGGTCGTTCAGGAGACCGTAATCGGGAATGTCGGTGGGCCGGGCAATGCCGCGAATGTCGTCCATGTGGTTCAGCGCCGGCGAAAGGCCGCCATGCACGCAGAAGATCTTACCCGCCACGATGGCGGCGATGGGGAGCGTGTTGAAGCAGTCGATGAACGTCTTCCAGATCTTGACGTTGCAGCGCCGCTTGCATTCGTCGTAGAACCCGTAGACGCGCGTCACGTTGGCGCACTCGTGGTTCCCGCGGAGCAGGAAGAAGTTGTGCGGGAACTTGAGCTTGTAGCAGAGCAGCAGGAGGATCGTCTCGAGCGACTGCTTGCCCCGGTCGACGTAGTCGCCCAGGAACAGGTAGTTGGACGAGGGCGGGAAGCCGCACATCTCGAACATGCGGATGAGGTCCGTGTACTGGCCGTGGACGTCGCCGACGATCTTGACGGGGGCGTCGAGCTCGAGGAGGGAAGGCTGGGTCAGGAAGACCTCCCGCGCGCGCTGGCAGATGGCGGTGATTTCGGCATTCTTGAGACAGACGCCCTTGGTCACCTTGCCGGCGTACGCGGCGTCCAGAAGCCGTTTGATGAAGTCGTCCAGATCGATATCGTTGATGTCACCCATGCCCGGGTTCTCGTCGGCATTGTCCTTTTCGACCGACGGCAGCTCGAGGACGGGAATGGCAGCGCCCGTCTCGACGAGAATCGACCTCCCAGGCGCCTGCAGATGGGTGTTCAGGCTGGCGCTGGCGCAGGGCGGTTGGTCGGACACGTGGTCGACCTCGCCGGACGCCTGGGCGGCACTGACGTCGTGCAGGCCATTGGAGCTGGTATGGTGGACGGGGGACGGGGGCGGCTGGTCGTCGTCGATGGGCGAGTCGAGCTCGGCGACGGCCGACTGGGACGGGCTGGCAAAGGAGTCGGTTCGGCTGGCGCGGGACGTGACGGAGCGGCTACTCTTGCCCGACTTTACCGAGGCTGCGTCGGATTTCGAATCGTCTCCGTTTCCATTTCCATTGCCGCTCGCCGCAGAGATGGACGCCCTGGGACTGTCGGTGCTAATGCTGCCGGACCTTCCGGCGCCAGGGATCTTGGATCGCAGAGACCGGAACGACCGGGTGGACTCTCGGGTGTCGGAGCGAGAGAAAGAGGGATACGACTTGAAGTCATCGGGTCCGTCCTTGGAGCCCTTGTCCTTGGACGGCTGATTCCCCATCACGTTCTGGTACTCCTATTCGGCGTATCAGCGGCGTGAAGCGGACGTAGACGTTTTTGCCAATGCGGGTCGGTTCGCAGGTCCGTCTTGCCCACGAAGCCGATGACGGCGGAAAGAGAAAAAGAAATTACTAATGTAAGAGGATGCCAGTCTCCCAGCACGTGCTAGGGAGGATAGAAGATATTATCAAGGACGTAGTAGAATTGGGAGTGAGGGAAAAAACGGCGGCGAGTTGTGGCGTCCAATTTCGTGACGTTGAAGGGGAAAGAAAGTCTGAAGCCTGTTTTATGGCAGGCAGCGGGGAACGAGGGAGCGTTATCGAGGTAGCAGAAAAAAGAGGTATGTCGAATGCGGCTGGTCGTCTTGATCAATATGATGAATCTCGGGTTTGTTTGTTCGGACGGTTTGATGTTTTTTTTTCTTGCGTGGGCGGAGTTGTTGGAAGGCGGGCGTTTTGGTGCGGTGTGTGTGTGTGTGTGTGTGTGTGTGAAGTGGTGGAAGAAGGAAGTTGAAGATAAACCTGCGTCACGTTTCGGCGTCAGCCTTGTCCAGTTAGAACTAAGCAGGCCCGCCCAGATCCTACCTTATAGAGAACGCTGCGTGGTGCGACGGTACACTAAGGTAGAGTGGCTTCTTACCTCGTACGTACCTTATTTTTTAGGTGAAGTACGGAGTACTCCGCACAGAGGTACTTGGGCGTATCAGCGAGTGGGAAGTGGGAAGTGGGAAGTGGAGCTTTGTGCAGCACATTTAACGCCAATCGGCTTCTGGACCATCTTGGCGGGCAAGTAACTACACGTACTTCGTAGGTATATGTATCTGCACAGCCCTCTGCTCGGACATAAGTATCGTAGCTTACGGAGTATATCCTGTAATTACGGGATACAGGTTGGTGTCAGTATTCCGCAGTCCCTTCTAATCCCATATACATGGTGGTTTCAAGTTTCAATGCATAGCATAGATAGTACCTCTCCTATTAAAGGTCTGCCTCTTTTTCTGGTCGAACGGGGTAGGGGACTTTCTCACACGAGAAGAAGAGATTTTAGGCAATGAAGTGTACCCATCAACCATTGGATCACAATCGTGACACCCCGGGTCTCCTGACCGAGACGACTCCTTGAAGTGGCGCCGCAATTTAGTCCGCAGGATCAGCTCAAAACTAGCACGTAACGTGACCTCGTAGGTGGCCAGGGTCTCCTCCTTAGGTTCGTCGTCGTCGTCGTCGTCGTCGTCGTCGTTGTTGTTATTGTTGTTGTTGTTATGAAGGGCAAAAAGCATTGATTTGGGACCTTGTTGGTGGTAGTCAGGTAGACAGACAGCTGCCACCTGAACCCCAAGTGCGATATCGTCCCTCGCCGCGTAGATCAGCCGGCAACGGTGCACATGAAGGCTCTCCAAATATATATTGCCCGACTTCGCCAACCTCGTACGATCAAGTGGTTCCATTCGCCTCGTTTTAATCACCACCCTTGCCCAATAGTTGTAAGCTAGGTAGACGTTTGGTTCTGACAGAGTTGCCGCTTATTAGCACCCGGGCACGGTGTCATCTGGGACAGCAATTGTGGGCTACCAGGGAAACGGCTTGTCAATAAGGTAGTGTGCAATGTGTAAAGACTAGCATGACAAAACAATTAAAGAGCAAGATAGAGCGAATATTCTGACGACGACGAAAAAAGAAGAAAAAATGCAAAAAGGAAAAATGAGAATCTCTCTGACGGGGAATTGAACCCCGGTCTCCAGCGAATTGTCGTTTGACAAGCTGGCATACTAGCCACTATACGATCAGAGACGTATTTCGTATTGCATATTGGGACCACCGATAATGCCCCTTAAATAGGTAGTGTAGCACCCGTACCCGTCTTCTTCACGGAGCAGGTGGTACCTAAAGTATGGAGTGAGGCTCTGTTGAACAAGACCTCCTGCGTATCCGACACGTTCCGACGTTTTTGATTTCTTAGTCCTCTGTAAAGCCAAAATGAAACCGTTTCGTGTGGCTGCGACCATTTCAGCCAAGCCCGGCTCACCATTGGAATTCTACACCGTAAAACGGCCGCCCGATGCCACCACACCTGTCCACATTCCATTGGGGTGATTCATCGTTTTAGAACACCTACGAGGACGGCAACGTTAATTGATTCCATAAAGAATACGCTACCCGCGTATATAATAATACCTTAGGTATAAGAGCGAGGAAGGGGTAGTTGTTTTGACTTCAGTCTGTGATTATTCATTCATCCCTGGTAGGGAAAGCCGTCTATAAGATACAGACACCACCTTACTATAGCAACATACGATTTTATCGTCAAGTGCCTAGTAGCCCCGGACGAGGTTATAATTCCATCATCCTCTGCGTCCACGAGACGTCTGACTATCCCATCATTGATCCATAAAGTTCGCCGGGTTCATAAACAGAAAATGCCATGCTCCAAAAGGATGCAAAGTTAAACATGCAAGTCCCAAGTCCTGACAGGTCCCTTCCGAAGGGTTTCCTGGTACAACAAGACAAAAAAGAAAAATAACGCCCTTTTGACGCCCTGCAAAGACAGATCCACCCCGATACACCTCTCTCCTGTGGCGCGCATTGAGAAGCAAACAAACCGACCCCTTAGACGCGGTGCGAGTAAGGCTCATAGGCCATATCGGACCGAACAGCGGCAGGGTGACGCGGCGCGCCGTACTGGGTGGTGGTCTGCTGGTTATAGAAGCCCTGGTGCTCGGGCGAGGGCAGCGGCTGGTACGTGCCCGAGTTGTTGTAGGTGCCGGCGGCGGCGCCGGGGGGGAAGTACTTGTCGCTGTAATCACTGCTGCCGCGGCGCTCGCGGGAGGAAGAGCGGTCGGGGGCGCAGCAGCAGATGGTGAAGAGCCAGAAGAAGCCGGCGGCGAGGGCGCAGGCGGCGGCGATCCAGACGAGGGCGAGGAAGGTGGTGTTGAGGTCGGCCTCGACGCCGGAGACGCCGGAGAGCTCGGCGGCGCTGCGGATGGCGCCGACGGCGACGACGGCCATGGTGGTGGTCATGGCGGCGACGCCGACGACGGCGACGGTGGCGATGACGGCGACGAACCAGGTGATGCACGACATGACGCGGGTGAAGTTGGCGAAGATGCCGCAGACGATGGAGAGGCCCAGGGCGCCGAAGGCGATGAGGTAGACGATCTGGGTCCAGCGCGACACTTCCTTAAAAATGTCGAGCGCCGTCTCCATCTCCTCCGGGAGCTCGATGCGGTTGCCGGATATCTCGCCCGCGGTTTGCAGGAAGCCCGTGTTGAGTTCCTCGCGCGCCCAGTCGAAGGCCGAGTCGATGCATGAGCGGTCGCCGTCGGCGTCGATGGAGCAGTAGTTCCAGATGTTGATGTAGTACACGTCGTCCAGGCCGAGGTCCTCGGCGGTGATGGTGCGCTCTGTGGGGTTATTCTGACGCTTCTTCTTGTTGTTGTTGATAACGTCGGAGGGATTGACGTTATCAGGGATATCAGGGAGGTCGTCAGGGTTGATGTCATCGGGGATGTTGTCGGGATTGATGTTATCAGGCAGGTTGTCGAGATCGAGGTCTTCAATGTTGACGCCTTCGGGCAGAAGGTCCTCCCAGCCGCTGCCGCGCAGTAGGTCAAGAATGTCGCCGGGGCTGATCTCGAGCTCCGAAGCGTCAATGCGGAAGAGATACAGGTCCTTGGCGGTGATACCGGCCAGGGTGGAGGCCATCAGGAAGGCCATGGAGGCGACCGAGAGGATGAATGGCAATGCCACGCAAAAGAAGCGTCCGACACCCATTTTTCGCGACGCTGTGTGATGATTTGGGGCGAAGACCTATTGAATCGCTTATATTGCTTATTTTCTTTTGGTATGTCGCTGGGTCAGGCCACCAATGGTTGTTCTCCTGATGGTTTTTTTGGACTGACTGACGTCGTCTATGTGAAGGGCAAACGAAGGGGGTTCGTACACCGTAGGGGGAAAGGCGGGTACGAGTTAAACGAGTGGTGCCTGGTTAATCCTCTGGTGTAGTCAGGAGAATGCAACCCTGCCTAGTTCAGGGACGGGAGAAAGAAACGAAACGATGGTTTCCGGAGGGGGGGAGATGACAGCGAAAGACGGATGGGCAATAACAAATGCGCAGGGACAACAGGGTATCGGCTGGTTTTATAAAAGTTGGGCGAAGGATTTCCTACACGTCTGGGATATCAGGAGGTGCGAGTAATTGTGAAAGTACGTAAGGTACATACCTTACGGTACCTTACACATATACCTTGTGTACAAGTGCTCCCCGCCTCCCCCTGTTGGCCCACGTTGTACATGTACATGTGCGCGGCCTCCCGGCTATCACTGATGTCAATCGCTATTTGCCCCGGTTGAGGTGGCGCAGCCGTTGCCCAGCCCCAAGCCGTTGCCCAGCCTACCACACACAGCCAACTTTAGCGTGAGCTTACAGGTACCTTAATTAGGACTCCGTACCTCCATAAGTAGATAAGGTACCAAGAGGTGAGCTTACTTTGGGCCCACCAAGATGTGCATCCATGTTGATATGTACCTTAGTTCTTACTCTGTACGTTGTACGCGGGTTGTGCAGATTGCGTCAGAACGAAATTCAAGGGGGAGAAATATGGGGAACGGAATCGAAAATGAAAAACTCAGTTTGTCTTCCACGTCTTCCGTTCGAAGCACTTTTCCAAAGGAAAAAACGAGAAACCAAACATCCAAAGCCCGGAGTATTGTATGAAGTAATTACCTAGGTAGGTACTTTGCACTCCGATGGGCTAGCTAGTCCCCCAGCCTCTTGTCGTTTTGCGCCCTCAACACTGCTGTGCAGGATTATTGTGGCGCATGAGTGTGCATCCGTAGGATGGCCGCCCGGAGAAGATTACCGTCTGGTGCTTCACGAGACCGTCGCTATCATTGATGATTGTACATAGTCGTAATCCCTGGAGAGGAGAGCAAGTGGCCTAAAAATGGAAGTGTGGTGGTCCCTGAAAGCTGAGACATCGAGACTTGTAAGCTGCCAAGCTCTCTCATCCATGTCGTCCTCGCTAGGGGTCAGCGGGCCAAGACCAAACAGGAATGGACATCTCAGCTCCATCTCAGCCCAAGAAGCCCGAATCGAAATTGACTTGTGGAGTAATTAGTCGGAACTTTGCGTGAAGGTGCATTTGCCGTGTTCCTCCGACCTTAATCACCCTCTTCACCCGTCGTTAGACATCCTTCTCCTGTCTCGCTTTCCGATGATTTCTTCTTCATGTTGGGTCAATTGATAAGAGTTAGTCATTACCACGTAGTGTCACTTGCCGTCTCGAATTGAAGACTCCCACCAGCTCGATGATACCTGTTCATGGCCAATACCTGTTGTCTGCGTATCGTATATGTACTGTTCTGTTCTGTTCTGTACGAAGGACTCCCTCCTCTCATAACGCGTCAGGGGCTGCCCCACTAATTCCCCGTGTCGGTGCACTGTAGTGTACATGCGCCAGACACACTTTGCATCCGCGTTCTTCACTCCCGATTCTTCATCTGTTGCCCATGGGAAAATAAGGTAAATGATACGGGTACATGACTGCCGAAACTTAAGTCGCCACGAGTCTTCTTTCCCTTGCTTTACGGGTTGCTGTACCTTCGCAGTACGAAGTACGAGCTAAGAAGTACCTATGTAGGACGGATACTGGGGGTACTTACCTTATATAAGCTGGGTACCTCCATTCTTCCGTCCCACAGTCTCGGGACTCTTCAAGCACAGCCCCCTCTGTGGGGCAGTTCATGATCAGAGCACGGTATTCTAAATATAGAACCTGCAACTCTGCCACCCTTTCTCATCAGTCTACGGAATTTCCTCTCAACATTCAACATGGTACATATGCTCCCAGGTCTATTTACAAGGTCATGTCCCGCTCGTGTAAAAAGAAAAGAAATTTCTTCTTTATGAATGCCTCGAGATGGGAAACCTGGCGAGGTTTGTTGAGATTCCGGCGGACTACGAATATATATGCCATCCCCTGCATCGCTCTCCTCCTCCAAGTGTCGCTTTTCTCACCTTCTCACTCTGACTGGCATGCCCCCCCACGGGACTTGAAGTAGCGGCCCATCTTCCGGGGGGAGATTCTATTGCGCTTACGTGGGTGTTTGCGTGGACAGGCCGTCTGGGTAACCCGGATATTCATCACGCTCCTGCGTAGCTCACCTCGGCGCACCCCAGAGTGCATGTGAGCAAAGGAAGCAGTGAAACTATGGGACCGGGGTGGGAAACGGCATTGGAGCGTGGAATGAGTACCCTGGCTTCTACTGGACCAGAACCAGGCGTCTTCCGACTTGGCAGAGGACAAGGTCTACGAATTGTCGAGTCAAAGGTGCCGAACTTGAGCCAAACGATTCACTCTGACGGATGATCTAGGGGCAGCAGCAACGATTCGACGGTCTCGATGTTCATCGCTCCGAGAGATTGGAGGGAGGTTTTAGGTGAATTGATGGGGATGTGTTTAACACACGGGTAATCGACAGTATGGACTAATTAATTATAGAACAGCGGATATGTACACGGACAGCTGGAATTGGTCGACAGCACCCTTCGAGTGCCCTCCTTGTGGAACGACACGCTCGCGAGGTTGTGTTGGGGCGACATGCCTGGGCTCGTTTAGGCGTCCTCCACGTTGACAACCTGGCCATCCTGAGCGACACCAATTTTCTTCTTCTGAAGAGAATGCTTGACGGGGTTCTTGGCCTTGAACACGTCGTCGAGTTCTTCGAGCTATAGGGCAGAGGGAGGTGGTTAGCACGTGTGCACCACCGGAATAGGGAGAGGGGAGAAAGAGTGCTTACCGTGCGGCCCTTGGTCTCGGGCAAGAAGAAGTAAATGACAACGACCTGGATGGCGTCCCAAATGGTAAAGATGATGTACGTGCGCCAAGCAATGGCCTCCATGGAGACGGGCCAGGCGAACTGGTTGAGCAGACCGGCGGCGTTGACAGCGAGCGACGAGAAGGCCATACCCTTGGCGCGCATCTCGAAGGAGAGGACCTCGGCCGGGTAGAGGGCCTGGAGCGGGGTGATGCCGACGGAGTAGACGGAGCCGAAGAGGAAGATCATGGCGAGACAGGCCTGCGAGGCGGCCGGGTTGTCGAAGACGGGCTTGCCGTCGGCGTTGACGCCGGTCTGGGACTGGGCCAGGACGCCGGAGGCGACGGTCATGCCGAGCCAGATGACGGTGCAGCCGGTGAAGGAGAAGAGGAGGAGCGGGCGGCGGCCGACGCGGTCGACGAGGGTGGCGCCGAAGATGGCGCAGACGAACTGCTGGCACGAGTTGATCAGGGTGATGTTGTGCTGCTCGATGTGGTGGTAGTAGCCGGCGGTGTCGAGGACGGACGACAGGAAGTAGGACAGCACGGCGTTGCCGGCCCACTGGCCGAAGACGGACAGGGTGATGTTGCACATGAGGCGGTAGACGGACGGGCGGTCGCGGAAGAGCGCGCGGTAGTCCCACCAGCGCTTGTCGGCGCCGTCCAGGTCCAGGAGCTCCTCGTACTCGTTCATCTGGAGCGAGACCCAGACGGAGTCCGGGTTGCCCTCGCCGTGGTACTTGGTGAGCATGTCGCGGGCGGCCTGGGTCTTGCTGTTGGCGAAGAGCCAGCGGGGGGACTCGGGGAGGAAGAGGACGAAGAGGCAGATGAAGCCGGAGAAGAGGCACTGGAGCCAGGTGATGAGGCGCCAGGAGGTGTCGCCGGGGAAGTCGACGATGGCGCCGCGGGCGGCGCCGGCGGCGAGGATGCTGCCGGAGAACCACAGGGTGTTGTACAGGGCGCCGACGACGCCGCGGTAGGCCGGGTGGTTGATCTCGATGACGTACATGGGGCCGGCGGCGGCGGCGATGGAGACGCCGAAACCGAGCAGGAAGCGGCCGCCCATGAACTGGCTCGCCTCGTTGGCGGTGGCCTGGATGCAGGTGCCGACGATGATGATGACGGCGCCGATGAACATGCCGATACGGCGGCCCCAGGTGTCGATGGCGGGGCCGACGAAGGGGAGGGCGACGACGCCACCGATCTGGTACATGGAGGAGACGATACCGGTCCAGAGACCGGTGTTCTCGACGCCGTAGCGCTCCTTGAACCAGGGGTTCTGGAGGAGGTTGTTGATGAGCGAGCCGTCGTATCCGTTCATGGTGGAGCAGAAGAAACCGATGATGGAGAAGGCGTAGATCATGATCTGCGGCTTGCTCCAGGCGTTGGGAGGCTCCTTGATCATGGCCTCTCCGAAGGCCTCGTCGCCCTTGATGACGGCGACCTGGACTTCCTTCTGCGAGGGTCAGTTAGCTTTGGTGGTCCGGTTCAACCCTACGCCTGCCCTACCCACCGGTATGGGTCAAGTGCTCCTTGGATCTTCTTACCTTCTCGTCGGAGACTTCATTGTCGTGGGACTGGACAGCACCCACGACGTCATTCTTTTCTTCCGCCATGGCTGATGAGGGAAGACGACGCCAACTAATGGTAGATCAACACCCGCTGTTCAAACCCGGAGTTTTCACACTGCCGTTTGGGAAAGACGCGGGAGAAAGGGGGGCGGTGGGCAGAACAGTGCTGGAGGGAACCAAAACCTATGGACGAGAAGCCGGGGCAACGGTGAGCATTTATGGATTTTTCTTTCCCCTTCTCCTCCTCCCTCAACAACGTCCAAACTCTAGCTCGTCGGCGAACTCTTTTCTGGGGAACGGAGCATAAGCAGCCCGACCCAACACAACGAACCTAAACCCACGCACGAGCCCCCCCATCAGCAACAACAAACAATACGTAACAACAGGCCTGGTAAGTTCAAGACATTACTACCCGGCCCGCCTCATCATGGGGCCACGGGAATGGGGCAGCTTTGTTGCAGGGGTTTCCGTTCTGGCCAATGTATTGGAACATCTACAACTGTACATACATATTGGGACCGATTGCTGCTCCGGGACATGTGGGCGGGGTCGTTCCGAATCGGATCTCGGATCTCGAGTGGGTCTGTGTCCCCGAAGCAAGCCCCTTGGCCGGGGTAGCGCCGGGGGATGCGAAGGGCGAAAATGCTTAACCGGGGATAGCGCCATGGGGCCCGTGCATCCGTCAATCACTCCCCACTTGCTGTCAATGCCCACTAATTTGCTTAATTTGAGTCCTTCATTTCGCACCACGTGAATCCAATTGCTCCCTGGAAAGAGGGGAATGGCGGGATTCGTGGGACCATGCCTGTGTATCCGTATGTAACACACCGTTGTAGTTACCTTCTGGCTTTATTCGTCATTACCTACCTTAAGGTACAGAGCATGGAGGTACACCGTACAGAGAGCTAAGACTTTCGGCTCTCGTATTCCGCAAAGAGGGACATTGCTGTCCGATGTGCAATATGTACATAAGGTAAAGGTATGTACAGAACCATAGACCCCAGAACGAAGCTACAGTTACAACGTACTCCTCTCTTGGTATTCGGGCCGCCTTCCTCCGCGCTTAATCTTAGCCCAAATGGACAACGGCAGAGGGAAAGTGTTCTTTCCGATCAGGGGGGTCTTTCTTTCTGGTCTTCGATCCGATGGTCTGTGTGTGGTGGCTTGAGCTTCGCTCGGCTTCTCCCGTTCCTTGATCTTACGTACGAAGTACAGATATAGAGTACGGGACACTCCCGTACGCTTTGCTTTGTATATGGAGGGAGGAAGCGTGTACATACGAGTACCTCTGACCTTGCCTCGACCACCAACGGAACCTTCTACTTCGTACCCCGGAGCACCGCTTTCACTTGAACGTCGTACCCGTACAGAAGTGCCCCTGCCGAGGTTTCAGGAGGTGTCTATTATTCCTTACCCGTACTTAGGGTAAGGTATAACGAGGAGTACTCGTATCAGTCAAACTTTTGAGCTGTAAGATGAGCGTACGTTGTAGGTGGTGTATGTACCTTACCTAGGTAGGCAGATCTGGACCTTAGTCGTTGGCACGCCGCTTCGTGCTGACCGGGCTGGCTGCCGAGTTAAGGTACATAACACAACAAAGCGTTACAATATGAATACCTACCTTAGGATCATCTCATCTCGCCTTGCCAAGGTACATTACCACCCCATTGGTGAAGGAAGCCGCCTACGAAGTATTACCTAGGTACAACGCATGTACTCGAGTGACAAGAGTCTTTTCGCGCTCTCGGGAGACACCAAGAAGAAGCCAAGAAGATCAAGCTTCTGCCACCCAGCGTTGGCAGCCAGATATGCAGATCTAAGACAGCGCCCAACCTTTTGCAACGTGAACAAGGTCCAATGACACATGCATGGCATTGAACATGCATGTTCCCGGGAGAGCGCGGTGCATCTCCTGTCTTTTTCTCGAGAAGCAAGGGATTTGACCAAGTAACAAGAACGGTCATACGATCACCTCACAATTACCTATTATAAAAGCGAGAGTAGAGAATAAAAACTACGCTGCAGGTAGGCAGGGCAACCGGAGACGAAGCATCAGCCACCCGGTGGTCCCTTTCCCGTCGTCTCCTTTCTGGGCGGAATGCAAATCTTGTGGCTGCCACGACGTCACATTGGGAATCCCAGGGGCCAGGGCCCTGGAACGCAGTGGAGAGAGAAGCTGCATCCTCTACAGAAAACCCGGCTACCATATTTCCACCCTCCAGCCGTCCTTCCGTTCATCAGCTCAGAACTCCTGCAACTAACAAGGGTGTCCTGCAACTTCCCCGCGACGTGACCAACTGGGTCTACCTGAATACGGGTAGCGTGGCGTGAGAACGGATCGAAGCTCCCCACGATGGCCTTTTTAACCCTTTCCCCCCCC